CACTGATTTGTACTTGGTTTTGGAATCAATATATATTAAGTCCTATCAGCCATCTCCCTGTAATCAGAAGGAGTGAGCTTAAAGATTTTTATGTTATTTTGCTTTGCGTGTATAACATTGGTCTAGGGTTGTTTATCTTTTAGATGTCGAGTACATTTTTGTCCTCGAATTTTTTCCTGATGAGAGATGCCCTATAAACTGGTTGAGCTGTTTTTAAATACTTGCTATATTTCGGTATTACTATTTTACGATAATATATATTTTTTGTTATCCCCTTTTTTTTTGTTGCTATTGTTTCTTTTTTTTATTCAATACTTTGCTCTGATAGGAGCGGACCAATAAACCGGTTTAACACTTTTTAATTGTTGTTATATTTTGATATTAACACTTTAGGGTAATCTATATAATCTTGTCATCGCCTCATTGTTGCGATAAATTGTTTCTTTTGTACGCGATATTTTGCTCTGATGAGAGTGGACCAATAAACCGGTTTAACACTTTTTAATCGTTGTTATATTTTGATATTAACACTTTAGGGTAATCTATATAATCTTGTCATCGCCTCATTGTTGCGATTAATTGTTTCTTTTGTACGTGATATTTTGCTCTGATGAGAGTGGACCAATAAACCGGTTTAACACTTTTTAATCGTTGTTATATTTTGATATTAACAATTTAGGGTAAACTATATAATCTTGTCATCGCCTCATTGTTGCGATTAATTGTTTCTTTTGTACGCGATATTTTGCTCTGATGAGAGTGGACCGATAAACCGGTTTAACTCTTTTAATTGTGGTTATATTTCGTTATTACTATTTTACGGTAATATATACTTTTTTGTTATCACCTCTTTTTCCGATGAATTATTTCTTTTTCTACTAGATATTTTGATTTGACGAGAGTGGACCGATAAACCGGTTCTGCTGTTTTAATTGTTGTTATATGTCGCCTTTTATTGCTCTAATAAAATTTTTATTGCTAGAATTAGCCGTGAAAATTTAATATTTAAATTTGAATATTTAAATTTACTGAAGGAAACTTACTTCATAACTCTTATGATTGAATAAGTTCATGGCGAGTTCTACGACAATAAAATATCCTTAGAAATTTCCGTATCGCTTCCATAATTATTTGAGTTAAACAGCTTTAAAAAAATATTGCAATAACAATCATAAATAGCAATGCTGGTCGTTATTTTAAGAAGTAAGGGAGTACAAATGAAAAGATTTCAAACTGACATCTTTTTTCTATTTCACTGAAACAGACGTTAAACACTTCTATCTTTCCTTTTATTCTCTCTCTCTCTTTTCTTTGATATTCTCATTGAAACCAAGTAATGTCTTCTCCTTTCTTTGCACTCGAACAAAAACGCGCAATAGTCCATTATTTGAGGATGTAACGGTCGCGCTAACTAACGTATAGAGGGACAAGGACAATCATAATAGAATTATTATTATTATTATTATTATTGTTGTTGTTGTTGTTATTTCCTTTGATTTTTGATGAGTATTCATTTCTTTCCGGGTCCCGCCCAGAGATCGAACGTTAGAAATGGCATCATGATTTTTTCCACTGAAAAAAACAACAACAAAAAAAACATATTTTACATAGACAAAGCCCTTCGTAAAGTGAGGGATGTACTCGTGAGAAAAATTGTTTGTATTTCTTTAAGGCATGGGCTTCCAGGAATCCCTTCAATTAGTCTACTGGAATCTTTTCCAACCAATCCGAGGGCTCCAACTACAACAGGGACTGTTGATCTTCTCATGTGCCACATTTTTGAGATTTCGATTTCAAGGTCCTTGTATTTTTACAGCTTTTTGAATATCTTCAAAGATACATTGCAGTCAGCAGGGACTGCCATATCAATAAGGAGGCACCGTTTTTGTTTGTGGTCTTTAATAACAATATCTGGCCGGTTGGCCTTGATTGTTCTGTCAGTGTGTATTGTGTAGTCCCATAGAATTGTAATAGGTCCTATCTCCGTAACCGGGTCTGGGTGGTGTTCATACCAGTTTCTTTCAGTTTCCTTCCCGTACAAGTTGCAGATTTTCCAGTGCAGATATTGGCCCACTCTGCCATGCCGGGTTTTATATTCAGTGGGTGCCAACACCGTACAACCTGATACAAGATGATCAATCGTTTCTGAATATTTATCACAGAATCTGCATTTTGGGCTGACACAATATTTTTAGTATATGTGCTTGATAATTTCCTAGTTAAGCATTGGTCCTGCGCAGCAAGGATAAAACCTTCAGTTTCCGCTTTCAACCCTGCACTACGTAGCCACTGATGGGTACGGGTTTTGTCTACATCAGCTTGTTTGGTACGGGCAGAGTATTGGCCATGAAGCGGTTTATCTTGCCATCGCTTCTGTAGCTGGTCGGTTGCGTTCGTCTTTGCTGTCTTTTTTAGGTATTTTGCAGTTTCAGCCGGTGTATTGTGCTGTAGTTGCATCTCTACGCCCATTTGAAACTCCTTATTATTATTATTATTATTATTATTATTATTATTATTTGGTTTCTGAAGGTATAAGGTCAGGAATTGGATTCATATTTCCCCCTGTTCATTTCTATCCAAAATAATAAAAAATAAACATAATTTAAAGCTAAGATCGTACATATTTAACATGGATAATGCTCTTCATAATGTGTCAACTGTAATTGTGAGTACAATTTTTTGTATTTCTTTAAGACATGGGCTTCAAGGTATGCCTTCAGTGGGTTTATCGGAAACATTTCCAATCAATCCGAAGGCTCCAACTACAAATGGAATTATTCATGTCTTCATGTGCCAATTTTTTAAGTTTTCCATTTACACATCCTTGTATTTTGATACATTTTTAAAGATCTTCAAAGATACATTACAATCTGCAGAGACTGCCATGTCAATAAGAAAACACATATTGTTCTTTTGGTCTTATTATTAATATTATTATCATTTTATGATTATTATTATACAAGAAGAAGAAGGAGGAGGAAGAGCAGGAGAAGAAAATAATAATAATAATAATAATAAGAAGAAGAAGAACAACAACAAATAGGAGGAGAAGGATGAGATGAAGAAGAAGGAGGATTAGGGAAGAAGAAGAAGAAGAAGAAGAAGAAACAACAACAACAACAAAAAAAATAGGAGAAGGAGGAGATGAAGAAGAAGGAGGATTAGGGAAGAAGAAAAAGAAGAAGAAGAAGAAGAACAACAACAACAAATAGGAGGAGAAGGAGGAGATGAAGAAGAAGGAGGAGGAGGGAAGAAGAAGAAGAAGAAGAAGGAGGAGGAGGAGGAGGAGGAGGAAGAGCAGGAGGAGATGAAGAAGAAGAAGAAGAGGAAGAAGAAGAAGAAGAAAGAAGACATAGAATTTTGAAAAGTCGATATAGCTCTACCTAAACATGTAAGGGTAGACTTAACAATAAATGTGTTATTTGAATGATATGAAAATTGGACACAGATGATAGCCTGCTTATTGCGTTTCCAAAAAATAGAAGTTCCTATTGTCATGGGCACCTATGGAACAGAGATATATAAAATCCAAAAATGGTCGGGTAAAATTGAGTGTCTGATGCTTCAGAAAACAGCCGGCAAGCTGAGAACGGTTTTGTTAATGTTGAAATGGGAGGAAATCAAAAGACACTTTGCCACTTGTTTTGACCCACACCTAACATTGAATTAACACATAAGGTCTTCCTAAAAAAAAAAAAAAAAAAAAAAAAGTAATTAGGAGGCTTGCTAGCGAAAGCCAAATAATAAATTGAAGAATACAAATAATCCATCCGAAAAATTTTCTATAAGATTCTTGAAATTAAGATGAGTTCTCACGAGAGACTTGGAGATTTAAGGTGACTTGCTGTTATATGACTTTTAGCGGGAAAAAACCTCATAAAACATGCTAGAAAATGCATTAAAATGAATTGTTATTGTTATTATTATCAAAAGTACGCAGATGTAGGCTTTAAGAAATCTTTATTTGACTGTGAATAAAAGGTTCTCGTATAGTGTCCTTTTATAGTTTCAGTAAACAAAAATAGCTCGCTCAAAGAGGAGATTAACAAAACAAGAGGAGACCACTCTTGATTATTCATAACAGTTATTCTTCTTCTTCTTCTTCTTCTTCTTCTTATTATTATTATTATTATTATTATTAATATTATTATTATACGAAAAACCGAATTAACAACAAGTGAACCTGGAGAGTAAAAAGTAGAAATAAAATTAAACGAAAGAATAACTACAATACCAATAATGATAATAATGAATATCTTGCCTAAAATCAGCTACAATAATAATAATAATAATAATAATAATAATAATAATTATTATTATTATTATTATTATTATTATTATTGTTGTTGTTGTTATTACCTAGCAGCGTTGAAATTAATTAGTCACACGAGTGCTGGCATGACTAAAGGAAACAAAGGTAAGAGTAAGAGAAAGAAAAAGTAGTGAGAATTTAATCCAATCACTTTTCGTTTTCAACAACAACCAGTTCTTTTGCCTCATGGTTTCAAGCTAATATAACGCATGCACTCCTACATATGCAGGAATCCGTTCACTTCCTCACATGAATACAAGTAGACAAGTGTTGTACGAAAAGCAAGAAATATACGTTTATACATACATACATATATATATATATATATATATATATATATATATATATATATATATATATATATGTGTGTGTGTATGTTTGCATGAATATTTCTTATTTTAACGCTCTATCTCCTCTCTATATATCTATTTATCTATATGTGTGAGTGTATATATATATATATATATATATATATCCATATATATATATCTATATATATATATATATATATATATATATATATATATATATATATGTGTGTGTGTGTGTGTTTATTTTTGGTATATATATATATATATATATGAATATGTTTTATATATGTGTATGTGTGTGTGAGTGAGTTTATGTGTGTATATATATATATATATATATATATATATATATTTGTGCTTTTTTGTGTCCCTTGCGTATGTGTGCGTCTCTCTCTCTCTCTCTCTCTCTCTCTCTCTCTCTCTCTCTCTCTAACTGTGTTTTTGAGCATGTGGAATCCATGAATTCTGAAATATATATCTATATCTATATATATTTATACCTATATCTATCTATCTATCTATCAATCTATCTATCTATCTATCTCTCTCTCTCTCTCTCTCTATATATATATATATATATATATATATATATATATATATATTTATAAAAGCGTTTAACAAAAGTTGTTTGAATGAATTCTCGGTGATTAAATGCACATATATAATATGTATTTAAGTAGCAGCAATTTGTCCAAACTGGTTTCGACAAAAAATATATATTTCTATCGCTTTAAATGACATTTGTAGTTGATACTCATATTTGACCAGACACAACCTTTTTTTTTTTTTCATTAAGCAGTATATTTATTTACTTTCGTCAACCGAAATGTATATTCAAATATGAGTCTCCACAAAAATTAACTATTAACTTCAGAAAAGTTACGCCAAAATTTTGAAGAGGACTCACCGCAAAGAAAGTCACAAAATACGCGAAACGAATCAGAGTAACGAAAATTATTTCATATTTGTCTAAATATAATTTCATACACAAACAAATACACAACACGTATCAATATTCGATACATGAACTTCTGTTTAATCGTTACATATGTTGCCAATTTGAATTGATTTCAATTCCAATTACAGCGATCTACAAACGCCATGATTTCGTCCAAATTTCGTGACCGTACTTAAAAATAAACATATCTTAATAATGACTGAGTCAATTGAAATATTTGAACAAAACAGAACATCATGGACTTATCAAATTTATTATCACCCACTCATATCTAAATTTTACAAAAAAAAACCCCAAAAAACAAACAAACAGAAAAGCACAAAAATACTCAAGGCTTATCGAGTGATTGTCATAACAGACACACACACATATATATGTGTTATAAACTGTTACATTAGGACATGTAAGTTGCTATTATAAAACTACATATATTGTTTCGACGTCTAAAGACGTCTCGACAGTTAGTTAACAATGATGAATATATATATATATATATATATATATATATATATATATATATATATATATATATATATATATATATATATATATAAGTGCACATGAAGTCAACACTTAGAGGCTGTTTCATGCTAGACGCAATCGTAAGGTCACGAGTGTTTATTTCCTCGGCTATTTATATACAGGGGTCAGTGGTGCATTGTGGGTTGTCTGTTTGGCTGTTATTTTGCCGGAAGTCGTTTATTTGTTTATGCATTTATTTATTCATTTATTTATTAAGGTTAAATTATTTTTTTGTTTTTTATTTATTTTTATTTTTTATTTTAGTTTTTTAGTTTTATTTCTTAAATTATATTTTTATTTTTATTTTAATCGGTTTTATATTAACGTAGTAAAATTTTGTTTGTATCTCTTATTTAATAGTCATCTATTTTATTGGGGTTGATTGCTATTTATTCAATTGTTATTTATTCAATTTTGGGGTTGATTGTTATATATATATATATGTATATATATATATATATATAGAGAGAGAGAGAGAGAGAGAGAGAGAGAGAGAGGGAGGGGGGAATGGAGTAATCGGATAACCGAGTTCGAATTCCAGTCGAATCCATCACATTTACTTACGTGCTAATACCATTGGGAAAGTTTATTAATACTTTTCTTTTCCCTGCAGCTATGGTTAATAGCCTTGAATGGCAACTGGTCTAGGAGAAAAACATCACTGAACTCAAAACCTGCATAATGCACTCGGTTCTGCCAAAGTTTTGTCAGCTAATTTATATTCAAATATAATGTTATCATCCCACGACATTGTAAATTGTCCTAACAATAAACCTGCTATCACCTCATTATTTAATTATACGAGGAAATGTTCCTATTGATACAATTATCATTAAATATAATTAACAGAGCTCGACTATTTTACACTTCAAGCATACTATTCTATAAATAATTCACCAACCTATAACAAACATTAATTAAGAGAGGATTTCCAAATTATACGATTGACGACAAATTAAAAGCAATCCCAAAATATAATAATCCCTACGAAAATGATATAACAAAACTATTCTAATGTAATCAAAATTATTTAAATTAAAAAAAAAGTTGAGGCTGTTATGAAATATGTTCTGCATAGATATATACATCACTTCCTGAAAAAAGCAAACGAAAAAACTAATTATATATTAGAAAAAACATAAAAACAACTAGTCTGGCTATCAAAAATCAAATAAAACTAATATAAATACGCTTTATACATTGGTCATATAATATCAACCCTATAATTTCGAGTAACATGCCACTCATGTAACAGTGACTACATAACACGCCCGTGTGACTAAACAACACGAAAGAAAAACAAGCGATCTAACACATATCGTGTATATAATTATGGAAAAACAAAACAAAATACTATACAACATTGACTGCAAAGAAGTTTACAGAGTAAGATGTAAGAGACGATAGTGTGCTTCATGGTTAAAGCAATCTTCAGGTTTCAATGTCAACATTCATATTTACATATGCTCTATACCTGTCATTGAAAACTTAAATCCCGTAAATATAGCATATATTAAAACTATATATATATATATATATATATATTACTTGTCTGTCTCCTCTCTCCTTTCCATTTTTCCTTTTCTTTTCCCCCACTACCCTCCCATTCCTATATATCATTTCCGTTAAGTTAACCATCTAAATAGGTCACGATTAGGTCACTCCTCCTACCCCAATATAAAACATGCTTAAGAGAAATATGAAATTTACCCCTCTCTATACTATACCTAGTCTCGTTGACTACAACGATCACCCTCCCTGTTAAATTACAAAAATTACACTACCCATCAATTTCTAATCCCATTTTTCCTTTCATTTCGTTGTTGGAAGTGTTACCTGATGATCCGGAGTCCTTCAAAAAGGATTTTGGTGAAATAAATTATTGTAATGGTATCTTAAAGTGGTCTGTCTTTTTTTCATTAAATTTATATATATATATATATATATATACACACACACACACACACACACACACACACACATATATATATATATATATATATAATTGTCCATCCGACAAATGTTTAATATCTAAAAAAACACTAAATTAATCGGGTTTATTTTTAAGGCTTTTTTTAATGCATTTTCGTAAGAATCACTGAAACATCCTTTGAGATATCTAACTAGAAAGAGAACAGGCTAAAATCTTTTTGTGTCAGCCTCACCGTCCTCCTAAATGAGCAATGGTGAGAGGAAAAAAGTCATTCTGATCTTCCGTAATGGTGCCAACATTCATACTCTGGCTTCGACCTTCAAAGTTTATTCAAGAAACATCAAGAGAACGGCGAATAAGTTTAAAAATGAGGGAACCATATCAGGAGATCACAACTGAAAGACGGACCATCTTTGAACTTAGAACTAAAGAGATCAATTAGAAAAATCTAATAACTACAATCTTTAAAATTTAAATGCAACATCAATCGCCACCTCTTCCTTTTTTTTGTCCTTTCATCGATCCTTCCCGGAATCAATTTGCTCATTCTCTTTAACTCTTACTCCCTGTAACCACCTGCAGTCAAGGGACATTATCGCCTTACTTGGGGTGAAATGATTTTAAAAAAAGTCTTCGGTGATTGTACAAGAATAACGTGATATGACCCTAAGCCTCGAAACCAAACGGACCGGGGAAAACACCTTAAATATGTTATATAGCTTCTAGCGTCTGTTTAAACTGACTAATAGAGGGAATCTGCGTTAAAACTGTCCGTTAATTAGAAGGACCTTTTCGAGGCCTGAAAATACTCAGTACAGTACAAAATTACTGTAAATAAATGTAAATATATGTATGTGTATTTTATTTATAAGTTACTATATACCTTTAAATAAAGTTTGAAAAGTTTTAAAATTAAACCCAGTCCATTGGCTGTGGGACCGTTAATTCAAGGTTTTAAAAAATTATAATTTATACTTATAGAAAATGTATGCCATAGTTAAAGCTGACGCTTCGAGGATATGGCTTGAAACGGCGCCTTCATTTTTCATGTAGACGAAATATTTTTCTTAACGGTTTTATCTTCCTGATTTCTGATAAAACATGGAGGAAAATTCCCAACATATTTCAGTGATATTTTTGCTTTCTAAAATGATAGTTTATAATTATAGTTTAGATACGTGAGCAAAAAAAGGCGTCCTCAATATGAAAGGGGTTAACGTTACGTGACACGATTTCTTTCCTCTTTTGTTACAGACGAAACGATGCATTGCACCTTTTGTCTTGATTTCGACCCTAATTGTTACGAAATTAACCTCTTTCATTAAACCAATAAACACGTTTTGCAATAAAAGTGCCTCTTATCCACTTTTGTGTCATTAAAATAAACGAAAGTCATTTCCAAATTATAAAAGAAAATAAGTGAATCTGACAAATTTTTGAAAGGCGAATATGCCAAAGAGCGACACCTAGCGGCTGTTCTGAAACTCTGATTTGTCGACTCTTGGTAATTGGACAATTAAAAACTCATAATAATGGCGTAGAAAGGCTTTTAATGTTTCTTTTATGGTTTTTATTTTCTTCTTGCTTTCTTTTTTTGCTTTCTTTTTTTTTGCTTTCTTTTTTTTTCTTTGTTTTCAATTCTTTTTTGTTTTGCTTTCTCTCTTTCAACCTTTCTCTCTATTTATGCTTCTATATAATCTTACTCCTTTCTTTCTTTCATTCATGTTTTTACTTTTTTCTTTCAGTCTCTCTTTCACCTTTTCTTGCTAATTTTTATTAGGTGTATGTAAATATCTTCAGCGAAAAATAGATTTTCAAGTGATTTGAACAGAACATTGCTGAAAGGTTTTGCACAAACAATTATTTCAGCAATTCTTTCTTTCTTCCTTCCTTTCTTTGTTTCTTTGTTTGTTTCTTTCTTTCTCTCTTTCTTTCTTTCTTTCTTTCTTTCTTTCTTTCTTTCTTTTCCCCTTTCTTTCTCTCCTTGTATCCCCAAGTTTTCTTTCTCGTTCTAGTCCGTTATTATTTCCTTTCTTTCTTTCTTTCTTTCTTCTCTCTTTCTTTCTCCCTGGTATTTCTGTATTCGTGCTTTCTTTCCGTCTTTCTTTTTTTCTTTTATTTTTTTTTTCTTCTTTATCAGTCTCCTTTTAATTTTCTTTCTTACATATTTCTTTCTACTATTTAGTATTTCTTCCTTTCCTTTATTCTTTCTCTTATTGTATTTTACTCTTTCTTTTTTCATTCTGCCATTTATACATTTCTTTCTTCTTTTCATTCGTTTTATCACATTCTTCATTATAGTTTTCTTCTCCCCCTCTCTTTCCTTCTTTCTCTTTCCTTCTCTCTCTCTCTTTTCTCTCTCTCTCTCTCTCTCTCTCTCTCTCTCTCTCTCTCTCTCAATGTATGATATTGAATTTTCATTTCTTCTTTTCTTTTCCTATTTTTCGAAAATTCTTTGAGATAGTTTCGCGTCCGGCTACGGCAAACGAAGGCCTTCGACGAACTTAGTCTTTTTCGACGGAACCTTCTAGGCGCATTACGGGAGTCCGACAACTCGAAGGCCTTTGAAAATCGGCACTATTTTTGAGATAGTGGTCCGACGACCACTGCTGAGGCGCACGACGCGCGTCCGGCTACGGCAAACGAAGGCCTTCGACGAACTTAGTCATTTAACGATTCGACGGACTTACGCACTTACCTTCTAAGGCGCATTACGGGAGTCCGACAACGACAATCGAAGGCCTTCGAAAATCGGCACTACTTTGAGATAGTGGTCCGACGACCACTGCTGAGGCGCATTACGGGAGTCCGGTTACGGCAAACGAAGGCCTTCGACGAACTTAGTCATTTAACGATTCGACGGACTTACGCACTTACCTTCTAAGGCGCATTACGGGAGTCCGGCAACGACAATCGAAGGCCTTCGAAAATCGGCACTACTTTGAGATAGTGGTCCGACGACCACTGCCGAGGCGCACGACGCGCGTCCGGCTACGGCAAACGAAGGCCTTCGGTGAATTTAGGCATTTAACGATTCGACGGACTTACGCACTTACCTCTTAAGGCGCATTACGGGCGTCCGGCGACGGCAGACGAAGGCATTCGACGGCTTTACGCACTTACCTCGTAAGGCGCATTACGGACGTCCGGCAACGGCAAACGAAGGCCTTCGACGGACTTAGTTTTTCATTCCTCCACCGTTTTTTTTTTTCGTTCCTCTTTTCTTACAGTCTTTTTTTTCACTCTTTCTTGTTCGCTTGCTTTCCTCCTTTTTGTCTGTTTTCTTCTCCCGTTCAATTTTCTTTCACTTTTTTTTTTTTTAATTTGTTTCAATAATTCTTTATATGTTTCTTCTTTTCTACTAGTTCTCTTTCTTTTTTTCTTCTTTCATGTTTCCTTTCTTCATGTTCAACCTATACAGTGAGGCAATTCTGAGAGAATTGGTAACCCCGCCGGGATTAATCATTGTCAGCTACAATCTTAACAACATAAAATACGCAGATGACACAGTACTGATAGCAGACACGGAAAAGAAATTACAAAATCCCTTACAGAAGATAGCGACGGAGAGTGAGAAGAAGGGACTAATCATAATCTACAAGAAGACGGAGGGCATGGTCATCAGTAAGAGGAAGAGCCCGAAATCCGATTTGCAGACCGGGAACACAAAAATGAAACAGACGCGGAAGTTTAAATATCTGGGAAGCCTTCTGACAGAGGACGGTAATTGTAACACTGAGATCCGTAGACGTATTGAGATAGCCAAGGACGCATTCCAAAAGCTGGGTAGAGTATTTCGAGACAGGAGGATTTCATTGGTAACAAAGAAAAGAATACTGAGCTGTTACGTGACATCTGTCCTTCTTTGCGGGAACGAATGTTGGACAATTTCCTCAAAGATGAACAAGAGACTCAAGGCGACGAAGATGTGGTTCTACAGAGGAACGCTATGGATATTGTGGAGCGAACATATTGGGATGGCCAAGGACGCATTCCAAAAGCTAGGCAGAGTATTTCGAGACAGCAGGATTTCTTTGGTAACAAAGAAAAGAATGCTGAGCTGTCACGTGACATGTGTCCTTCTTTACGGCAGCGTATGTTGGACAATTTCTTCAAAGATGAAGAGACTCGAAGCTTTTGGGAATGCCTCTTTGGATATCTGGATGCATCCTAATTGAGCGTAAACAGCTTTATATCAGTATTTGGTGAGGATCAGACAGTGGCCGGGCGAGAAGACATGAATGGGAAGACTAACGTTGTTCACCAACAACCCATCTTGTTATATAAAATACATTCACCTTCCTCATCATTTAGACCCTATTTCTTAGCATCTAAACGCTGGTTAAAAAAAAAAAACAATAAAAAAACTTCAAATGTTACCTGTTGTTTTTTTTTTTATAGGGCATAGATGCTTACCCCGTACTAGAATTATGTTAACTATAGATTCCTTTACAATGCTAACTG